ACAAGATGATAAGAATAAAGATGATAGGCTAAGAAAGGTGATATTCATTCCCTCATCAATAGTGATGTTATTTGATGAAATGTCAAGGGTAAAAAGATTTGTGAGATTCACAAGTGATTGAGGAAAAGAACCACTGAGTTGATTATTGCTTAAATGCAGTTCTTTTAATGTTGGGTTTGTTTTGATCACTTCATCGGCTAGTCCTCTGAATTGGTTATGTTGCAGCAACACTGAAGATAGCCAAGGTAGGCTAAACACCCAAGATGGTATGGTACCATTCAGTGAGTTGTATGACAAATCCACAGAAGTTAGCTTTTGAAGCATGCTTTGGTTGCTAGGCAGTGGGCCAGATAGGGAGTTACTCGACATGTCTAAGTATTGAAGATTTGTCAAACTTAAAATTGAAGCGGGAAATGAACCGATGAAGCTGTTATAAGAAAGATGTAAAGTACGTAGCTCTTGGAGGTTAGAGAAAACATCAGGAATTTCACCTGAAAAGGAGTTGTGAGAAAGATATAAACGTGTGAGGTGCTTCAATTTAGAGATTGTGGAAGGAATATGGCCAGTGAAATGATTATTAGATAAATCCAACTCCCTAATTTGTGTTAGGTTGCCTATGGAATCAGGAATGGAACCAGAGAATTGACATCCTCCAAGGTTCAAGATATTCAAGGAACTGAAGGTGCCAATTAAATGAGGCAGCTCACCAGAGATGCCTGTGAATGAAATATCCAACTCCATTAACAGAGTGTTGCTCCGGTGGAACTTTGGAAAAACTCCTTTGAGAAGATCATTATCACTCAATTTGAGCGTTTCCAAGCGGTTTGACGGAAGGAGAAAGCTCTCTGTGAGAACACCTCGCAGATTAGTATAACCAAGATCCAGGTACCTTAAGGAGGAAGAAGAAATATTCACAGGTATCGCAGATGAGATGTTGACTTCAAAGAGAGAAAGTATCTCCAGATTTGTGAAGTTCTGAAACATTGCTTCAAATGTTCTCTCGTCAAGTTGTAATCCATTCCAAAAAGAAAGATGAAGTGAAACCAAATTGGAAAGGTATGAGATTTCTGTTGGGATTTTCCCATCAAAGCCAGAGAGTTTTAGATGCCTCAAATTCCTCAATCGGCCAATGCCATTTGGGATTGAAGAAGGATTAAAGTAATTGCTATCAAGGTTAAGTGTGTGGAGATGATGAAGCTGGAAGAGGCTGCTATTGGGATGAATACTTACAGGTATCGGTGATTTGATGTTGACTTCAGAGAGAGAAAGTACCTCCAGATTTGTCAAGTTCTGAAACATTGCTTCAAATGTTCTCTCATCAAGTTGTAATCCATAACCAGAAAGATCAAGTGAAACCAAATTGGAAAGGTATGAGATTTCTGTTGGGATTTTCCCACCAAAGGAAGAGTGAGAAAGGTTGAGATGCCTCAAATTCGTCAATCGGCCAATGTTATGTGGGATCGAAGAAGAAGAATCGAAGTAATTGTTAGCAAGGTTTAGTGTTTGGAGATGATGAAGTTGGAAGAGGCTACTATTGGGATGAAAAGTGCCAAAAAGCAGACTACAACTAAGGTCTAACCCGATAACATGACCGTTTAATAAGTCACAAGTGACTCCATCCCAACTGCAGCAATCCCTACTCTCATTCCAAGACTCCGTTTTTTGGGAAAGAAGCTCCATCACCCAGAAAACTAAAGTACGTAATTTGAGAGGATTGTTTGAACTGAAGCAAAGCAGAAGCTTCAGTGGGAGAGCAAAGATGATGATCAATGGATGAACAAACACATCCACTTATTAGCAACACAAAACACAGAAATGAATAAAAGAAAAACAGACTCATGACCATTTTTGTTTGTTTGTTTTGAGCAAATAACAGGATGTTTGTTCTCTTTTTACAAATCAATCAGCATTATCCACACATATATATACTAGTTTCAGTTGTCATACATAAATTGAATACCTATAACATACTGATTAATGTAATCTTACAAGAAAGTTTCAAGAAGGTAGGATATACGCAGACCTTTATGAAGTAAGAATACAAACAACAAAAATTTTCAATGAAAAAATATAATATTAAGTTAAAATAATTAAATTTCATTTTGGCACTCCAACTCAACCTTGTTCCATTTTAACCCTTCAACTCCAATTTTTATGTTCCATTTAGGTACTTCTTTCCAAAGAATCAACAAAGTGGATGTGTATTTCACACACCATGACATGGCATAAAATTCAATTAAAAACATACACAACTCATCTAACTTGCCCCCATTTTTCATTTTGACACTCTAACTTAGTCTTGTTCCATTTTAATCCTTCAACTCTATTTATATACAATTTAAACACAAAATACTAAATTTATGATTTCTTCATTTTTTTTATGTTCTTCATTTTCACTTTTTCATTTTAAAAATTAACGTCATATCTTTTTCTAAAAAAATAATAATTAATGGATGAACATCAAATTTTTTTAAAATGTTTGCGCCTTATTCTTTAGGTATTCAATATACGTCTTAACAAAAGTGTTTTGTAAGTGAAACAGAGTAACAACGTAACATACCTAGTGTAATCCCACAAGTGGGGTCCCAAGAGAATGACGTGTACCCTTTGTTTCCAATAGTTCGAATGCATTTTAGGCTTTTCTCCATTTGTTATATTTTTTGTTTCTCAAAATATTGTATGCTAGAGCTTTAAAGAAATTTTCTTACTATCAACTCGTCTAAAAGTAACTATAGATGACTCTTCATTATAAGTGAAATTAATAACATGCAAATCAAGGTAAACAACATGCTAACTACAACACGTTAAATTATACTGATTGTAGATTTCATATTGTTGGTATATATAATTTAAATTTGTTTAAATATGAATGTCATATGGAAAGAAATTTTTTGAATCCTTAAATTCATGGTGAATGACCCAAATATAGATGCCAAAACTTAATGGGCTTTTAGAAATT